GACACAGACAGACAGACGGGTACACACACTCACACAGACAGACAGACAGACGGATACACACATTCACACAGACAGACAGACAGACAGACGGATACACACATTCACACAGACAGACAGACAGATACACACACTCACTCACACAGACAGATACACACACTCACACACTCACTCACTCACACAGACACACAGACAGACAGATACACACACTCACACACTCACTCACTCACATATACAGAAAGACAGACAGACACACACTCACACACTCACTCACTCACACAGACAGACACACACTCACACAGACAGACAGACACACACACACATAGACAGACATACATGCACACACAATCACACTCACTCACACACACACACACACACACACACACACAGGGGAACAGCAGTGGAGAAAGGAAAACAGAAGTTCCAGGAGCTGGGGCAAGCAGAAGTGTCCCGTTCCCCATAAGAACACTGTGGAATCCCTCCCTCGATGCGGGCTGCGTGTGGGGCAGTGGCTCCGGGGACTGGGTGATGAAAAGGAAAGGTAAAAGCCTTCTTGTGACTCCAGGGACTCATATCTCGTTGTCACAGCCCTTGAAGGAGCCAGCTTCTAGCCTCGATGAGGTCAGTTGCCTTACTGTGGAGGCAGCTTGCCGGGACCACAGCCCCCAGAGCTGGCTGCTGGTCACTCCGGTCCTCACCAGCGAGACACTGAGCCTCAATTCTGCACCTGTCTGCCCTTAGCAACCCTGGTCAAGGCCCACACCTTGGGTGAGGTCCTATCCCCGAGACATAGAGTTGGGAGGGGACAAAGTTAGGCACTCAGGAAACTGTGGCCATTTGTTCCACAGCAGCTGAGAACTAATGATCTTCTAAGACAGCGTGATCTGAGGCGCTAGCTTAGACGCCAACCGCTACTACAGACGTAACAGGTATGGGTCCGTCTAACGAGGATGTCAACTGCTCAGTGGGAATAGTGTCTGAGCTGTGCTGTGACGACCTTCCCTGGCTTTGCTGAGTATGTGGGTGTGGTCGATGGTTAAACAGATCTCTTTTCCCCAATGCTAACTTACTAAGGCCACCGTGTCCCAAAGCCCACCCCTCCCCACTGCCATGTCCCCTGCCTGTCAAAAGTGCTCAGAGTGAACTCACGCCCGTCTACAAGGCCCAGGACACAGCTCCAGAGCTGGGCCGTCTCTTTCCACGAGGTGCCTGTTGTATGTTAGCTTGGACAGCACTGATCAACCTCTGGGCAGAAGCCTAGCCACCCACCAACTCCTACCGCCTGGTGGGGGAAGGAGAGCTGTATGAGGTCCCAAGCAAGACATCCAGCCTGCCCTGTCTCAGGAACCCTTGCATGCCTCTCCAGTACGACTCTGCCAAGCACAAAGGCTTTCTGTAATACGAAAAGCGTAAGCCATTCTTCCCAACCATAGGGCTGATGGAGCTACCAGCGCAGGGCAGGGATGCAGGCCTCACAGACCTCTGGAGGAAGAAGGGGTCACATGACAGGTAAGCTTTGAATGGGTCTCCAGAAAGACTAACATTCCTGGTCAAGAACGGTCTGGGACAGACCATCAGGAGGAAGAACGCCAGACCCGAGGGTGTTTAAAGTCACATTCTATACTTTGCTGGAATCTAGTTGCACAAATCCAATCTTTCCTCCTGGAATCCCTACGTCAAGTCATCCCCAAGGCTCCACACATCCACATAGATATGTAGGTCTTCGTTACCGTGGGACACCAGCTAACTGATGACACCAGCCACCATTCTCAGATTATCCCATCAAACCCCTATAATTGATAGGGATCACTATGCCCTTTTACAGACAAGAGAATCAGCTCATCAGAGACCCTAGGAGCAGAGCTGGGTGTGCCTCAGTGGTTGTGTGCTTGCATAATATGGGTTTAATCCTTGATAGCCTGGAGTGTACACACATACACACACTCACACATACATACACACTCACATACATACACAACACTCACACACATACACACACACTCACACACACACACACACAGGATTTGAACCCAGGGAGATAGAGCCAAGTTCTACATAGACCAGGTTAGCCTGGAAATAGCAGAGATATGCCTGCCTCTGCCTTATGGGTGCTAGGATTAAAGCCAAGCTCACACTGTTGTCTTTGTCAGAGCCTTGTTTGAGGCAAGGTCTCTCTGTGTAGCCCTGACTGTCCTGGAACTGGCTAGGTAGACCCCACTGGTCTTAAACTCATAGAGATACTACTGCCTCTGTCTTCAAGTGCTGGGATAAAAGGCATGAATCACCTTTGCCTGGCCAAGTTCACATTCTTTTTTATTTATGTTATTTATTTTGGTTTTTTGAGACAGGGTTTCTCTGTGTAGCCTGGGCTGTCCTGGAACTCATTCTTTAGACCAGGCTGACCTCGAGCTTAGAGGTCCTCCTGCCTCTGCCTCCTGAACGCTGGTATTAAAGGTGTGCGCCACCCCTATCCCACCAAATTCACATTCTTAAACAATAGGCTGCCTTGCCCTTGGGAGCATACCACAGACTGACCCAAGATGTTTTCTATGGAGGCAGAGGCCCTGATGTGTCCACCCATGGTGTCCTCTGCCTTCTGCACACACACACTGGCTGCCAGCAAGGTTCTGGGTAAGGCACAGAATCACGCCTCTTCTCCTTGCTCCGCTGAAGAGCCTGGAGAAGGCACAGCCTGTGTCTAGAACGGCCCCTGGGACAAGGCAGAGCTTCTGGAGCTGGATCCAGGGAGCCAAAGAACTCATCAACCACCTGAAAACACTCTCCCCACAGCTGCCCAACTGGAGGAAGCTGCCAGAAAGGGTTACTGAGATGCTCAGGGTAGGGTACCCCAAAGTCTTCACTGGGGGTCCAGTTAGTGCTGACCAGGCTACAGGAGAGGGGACTCTTTAACCGGTAAGCATGGAATCAAGGGTACAATGGCTCTTCAGGTCTCCGCCCTCCCCTGAACCTGGCCCCTGGCCCCAGCTAAGCAGAGGTGGGTCTATAGATGCAAGGCCACCCAGATGGTTTTGCCACCTCTCCCTCTCCCCTCTGCTCCAAGTGAGCCTTCCATCCTCCTCTCTCATCATCAGGACCACATCTCCCTCATTTCCCTTTCAGGTGGAGCCTGGCAGGGCCTTCCACAAAATGTGGATCACGTCCCTTCAGAGGGATGGACACCAGGGTCAATCCAGAGCCCCACCTCCGGGAACTCTCCTACAGCAGGTACCCATCTTGTGCGGGACAACTACATCCTCTGGATGCTTCTAGAACACGGAGAGGGACTAAGAGCTTCTGCCTCAGGCTGGTCATCGTGGCCACTTGCTCAGTGTGGCACGCCCCTCCAGACCTAACACTTCACCCACCTGCGGCGTCTGGACCCACTGTGTGTCCTAACACGGTGGTTCCCTCTGTGAGCAAGGCTTCCCGGGGAGGAAGCAAACTTGACTACTGGGAAACTGAGGCTGAAAGTTTGCCCCAAGTGGCATGTCAGGGATTCCCCCCAAAAGATGTCTGACCGCAAACCTCGCTGCCCCAGGGCCTGTCGCAGGAGCATCCCTGTGTCCCATGGGCACAAAGAGGCTCTGCACTCAGGGTCCGGGGGATGTAGAAGCCAGTGCTCTAGGCTGGCGTCTTCAGGGGCAGAGGGAGGATGTCCCTGGAAATGGAAAGCACGAAGCCTCTCTGTGTAGGGAACAGGCTGTTCAGAGGCCCAGAGGTGGGAAGGTTCTGAGAGACAACTGAAGAGCCTGAAGGCGACAGGCGTGATTGAAGGAGGGGAGGCAGGGCTGCGTGCAGGAGGAGGGGAGGCTTGCAGCTGTTGACAGCTGAGGAGGTGAGGCTGCTGCTAATGGGCCATCAGGAACCTCCCAGCAGAGTAACGGCAGATTCGAACGTCTCTGCTCTGCGTGGGACTGAGGTGGGGGGGGTGGACACACATTTGGGAGTCACCACAGCAGGACCCCTGGCTGGGGCCACCACCTCGGCAGCCCCCAACTCAAGTCCTCAGGGAGAAGCTCCCCAGAATCCATCCTCCCTCACAGCCCAGGCCAGCGTCTCAGCTCAACCACTCAGAGCTGAGGAGACAAAGTCTAATCCAACAGTGACCTGCAAGAGGCAGAGGCGAGTGATCCGGAACAAGGGTACAACGGGGTTCCAGAAATGCCGAGGGCTTTTGCCAGGGCCTCGAGGTGATCTCTATCTGGACCACGGTGTCCCTCACAGACATGTCAAAGCAGTGTTCCCAGGCTCAGTCACATGCCTGTTCACCCTTGGAGCAGCCAGTTAGGAGAACCTGAGAGGCCCAGCTTCTCGGAGAAGTTATTCGCAACCTGTATGGTATCGCCGGGGACTGGGGGGGGGCGGGCGGGGGTTGGCAGCCTACGGGAACACCATCTGACATTTCGCCATCAGCCCCTCACTCCTTTGGTTTAAGATTTTCCCATCCGAGTTACTGGTTTTTAATGGCGCCACTCTTAAGTTCGCCAGGGCTTCCCGCACTCTGAGAGAGTCCCAGCTGATCCTTCTTGTAAGAGAAGGCTTTCAAATCCTGGGTTCCAAAAGAGGGAGGAGGCTGGGGCACAGACCAGAAGGAGGGGAGAAGGGAGGTCACAGGAGGCGCAGAGGGTCATGCCCGGGAAGGATGGCGCCGGTCACTCTCCCTTCTCCATTTAGAGAAGGGTAAATCAGAGAGAGCCAGAGCGAGACCCCGGGGCCTCTCCTCCTCTTCCCACTCGGATGCTGGGACCCCTGTCCCTGTGTCTTCCTGCTGTCCCGGAAGCAACAGCTCCGAGCGCAAACTTTCTGGGAACCCGACCCCTGCCTGGCTGCCCATTCAGTCGCCGCCACCCACCACTGCGCAGGGGGTCTCCGAAGACCCGCAGCAGGACGCCTGGGAGACCAGGACCCTGAAAAACGGCTCGCATAAGCAAAGGATGGAAGCTATGGAGACAGGGATTCCGCCCCGGGGCGGGGCAGGGGGACCCAGCCGGTGGGCGGCTCACCTGCACGACACGGTGATCTCCACCTTGGTAGCCGGGATGCTGCCCGCCAAGGAGTCGAACTCGCTGAGCGACGCCATGTCCTCGGGCTGCTCCATCGCCCACCGTCCCCCCACCCCACCCCAAATTAGTCAATATTCCTGCGCGATTCACGCCTCCTCCGGAGCGGCTGGAGCCCTGGGCTGGGCGGCCAGGGGAGGAGAGGAACGCGAAGAGGGGGCGTGGGAAGTGCGAGCGGGAAGGGGGCGGAGAACGGGGGCCGCGGAGAAACGGGGTGCGGGAGCTGCTGCGGGGAGGCTGGAGCCGCGGCGAGGAAGCCGGGGCGCAGCGGGGAGGGGAGCCCCGAGGGGGCGTGGGAGCTCAGGGGGCTAGGACCGCGCCGCCTCGGGCTTGGGGCGCAGAGCCACGTCTTCTGCTGGGGCTCCGGCTCCGGGGCGCCCGGACTGCGGGAAAATCAAATGTGCCCAGAGTCGCCGCCGCCTCCCGCCAGCCGCGCGCGCTGCGTGCGGGGTCCGCGGGCGCCGGAGGGGCCGCCCGCAGGGGCCGGGGCGGGGCCTGGGCGGGGTCTGCGCGGAGCGAGTGTAGGAGCCGTGAGTGTGTATGTGAGTGTGCGCGCGTGTGTGTGTGTGCACGCGCGTGGCGGGCGTGGGGACGCGGCTCTGGATGACGGGGACAGAGCTGGAAACAGCCGGAGACGGTCCCAGGGCGTGCGCCGCCCTCTGCGCCAGGCCCCGACCCCACTTGTCCAGGGTCTGCGTGCTGCGGAGGGGGACTGACCAAGGGGCACCTGTTTGGGCAGCATCTAGGCAGGGCTCAGGGAAGTAGGCTCTGCTGAGTGTGCGCGCCACCACGGGAGGGTCTAAGCTGGCTTTCTGTCTCCCCATGGGGGGGGGGTAACAGAGCCTGGTGCCAAGAGGGCCAGTCTGGTTTTCCACGCAGGTAGGGTGGGTCAGTGGACGCTTGCTCATCCACATTTGGTGCCTGCCGACCCTGGTCTTGGCCAGTCGCCCGAACCTTTACCCAGCCCCTTCGTCCGTCCTCCTCCTCCCATCGTGACCATAAGGGTTGAGCCAATTCCCCGGGTCTGGAAGCTTCCTCCACGAGATGGAGAGGATGGCCTCAGCTTCCTGGGTTTTGCAACCAGCTTGCAGTATACCGGGCTCAGAGCTCTGCATTAGGGAGTGAGGGGAGGTCAAAGCATCTCCCAAGAGGTGTCTTCCAGCCAAGCCTGGAGCCTCCCGCCCGGCCTGCCCTCTGGGCTTGGGGCTGCAGCGCCAAGCCGGCTCCTGGAGGCTGTGCACGTAGTTTCCTCTCCAGGAAATCCACCCGCAGCCCCTCCTCAGCCTCAGTGTAAGCTTGGCTGAGACGGAGCTTCAACCTCCTCGCCCGCCACCCCACCGTTGCCGTCAGTGGTGGCCTTCTGCCAGCCGGGCCCTCGGAACAGGTCCACACGGACCTGAAATCAGTGTTCAATGGGTCAGTCAACCAGAGTCGAAGACAAACAGAACACCTTCCCTGGGCTTGCACAAGTGCTTTCTGATTACCTGTAGCTCCAGTTCTGTCACCTGGGGCAGACAGCCAGGGGCACTGGTATCCCCACTCCCCCAAGCAAGAAGGTGGGGGCAGGGGAGGAGACAACGACCCACTTTTAGGTGGGGCCCCTGGGCCCTCCCTTCACAAACAACTCAGTCTCCACTTCTTTGTCGTTTTTTATTGTTTTTTTCAATTTTCAATTGATTTCAAATTTAGAACAAAATCCAGTCTGAGTCACAAGTGAGCTGCTAGTCAATATACGTCTGAAGCAATTGTTGGGTGTGGTAATGAGCTAGAAAGGCTGAGCTGAGGAGTTCCCACCAGTCCAGCGCTCTATGCGTGTTCTTAGGGTGAGCCCAGATTGTAACACCGCGTTATGTGGTGCTACAAAAGATAAAGATTTTTCGAGACAGGGTTTCTCTGTATTGCTTTGGAGGCTGTCCTGGAACTCACTCTGCAGACCAGGCTGGCCTTGAACTCACAGAGATCTGCCTGCCTCTGCCTCCTGAGTCCTGGGACTAAAGGTGTGCACCACCAAAGCCAGGCTGGACTTTGTTTTAAAACACAATTCTAAATGGTTGGGCAAAGATTAGGTCAACCCCTTCACCACAGGCATGCTGTGGCATGGGACCAGGGCAGTGTGGCTTGACGCTCAGCAGGCGGCCTCCCTCCCTCTCTGAGGTCCTGTTTGGGGTGGCAGCCATAGAGAGGCTGGGGGCCGTTGGACTGAGAGTCCATTGATGGCCTTGGGGAGTGACAGCATTTGGAGTGCTGACTCCAGGGTGTCACTGCAGGAGCATGTAGCCTGTGTTGAACCATCCCTCCAGGTTGCTGTGCTTCCGTTGGCAACCAGAACAAACTGTATCTGGTAACTTCTTTACCAAGTCCTGTCCTAGGCGTTGGATTTAAAAAAAAAAAAAGCGTGGTGTGGTGGCACCTGCCTTTAATCCCAGCACTCAGGAAGCAGAGGCAGGAGGATCTCTATGAGTTCCAGGCTAGCCTGCTCTACGTTGTAAGTTCCAGGACAGACAGGAGTGTGTAGAGAGACCCCCATCCCCAAAATAACAAGGGGCAAAAAGACATGGTGTCTGTCCCTAAAACCCAGGCCAGCGGGGCTTCAGGGCATGCACACAGAACTGAGCAGCATTTAAGAGTTGCTGTGGAAGCTGGCACAAAGGGCCAGGGAGAAGGAGAACCTCAGGGAGGTGACAGCGATGTGGGCTATGAGAGAGAGGCCCTGGCGTGGGTGCTGGAATCGACCCTGAGACAGACTGGGCAGAGTGTTTGAGACGTCGTAGAAAGCCGCTGGCTGGGAAGGCCACTGACCCAACACAAGGACTGGGCTCCAGGGCTCTGCCGGACCCCATCTGTCCAAGCAGGGCAATGTGTGTCTTCAGCCAGCTGCCGGCTCCATGGCTCCTCTGCCCCAGAGGGGCTCGACTTCTCGTACTTCAAGCCTGACACAGTGGCAGTGATGGTCCCAGAGCCAGGGAAGATACCATCCTGAGCTGCAGACCCCACTGGGTATAACTTTTGCTGCATGGCTGGCAGAGTGAGGCTGAGCGCATTCTTCAGGGAGGCCTGTAGAGCCCAGGTCAGAGATCTGTGCCTGGGAACCATGGTGTGTCCGGGGTAGAGGCTAAACATTGTGGAGGCGGCTAAGGCCAGGAAGCTGAAAGGCCACAATGCTAGGCTCCGGCTGCCACCAGCCTGTCCAAAAGGAGTCACCAATGAAGAGGTGCCCTGAAAGACACTTCTCTGCCCCATGGCTAACCAACCAGTGAGACCCAGAACCCTAAACTTGCTGGTGAGTCTCAGGAGCAAGGCTCCGGCCTTAGCTCAAATGAATCCCTCACTGATAGCTCAAAGCCAACCCCTGGGTGTTGCCTTTGGAAGGTGAAACAGTACTGTGGTCACCGGGCTACCTGGGACACCCAGACAAGCCCTCTGGTGACCTAGCACATGCGGCAGACGGACTCTGTGGTCCCGGAACCCAGACTAGAAGCAACCTTGACCTTGGCCCACCCGCCACGCTGGCACCGCCGTCCCTCCCGCTGATTAAGAACTAGGAGCACGGAAATGGGTCGTGCCCAGAAGATGTAGGATAATCAGCATCAGCACTTTGCCTTTGCCGTCCAAGACTGCAGACGGCCTCCATCTGACCTGACTCGTGGTGTTAATGACGGCAGAGCAATTTTGAGAGGCAACTCGCAGCATTGATAAGGAGGGGAAAAGCACTGGGGGCTGGGGGCTGGGGGCTGAGCTCCGTGCAGAAGAGGCAGCTGCTGCCGCCCTCCTCTCCCCCCTCTCCCCTCCGGAGGCACTTTGAGTAAGTGCTGACCTCGGATCTGCCCTGTTACAACAGAAGAAAACCAATGCAGGAGTTGGGCTGGAGCGGGCATGTGCAGGGGAGGGGGGAAGGGGGCGCCCACACCACACCTGAGAACATTGTCTTCCTGGTGAACACAGCCTTGGGCCTGGCAGGTGTGGGCTGCGCTCGAGCCCCCCCTCCCCCACTTAGCTGCTTACTTGGAAGTTCTTATGCAGCAAACACGCAAGGCAGCTCCAGGGAGAGAGGGAGAGCCAGAGGGCAGGAGGGAGCTTGAAACCAGGAGGAAGAAGAGATGCAGAGTTTGTGATGCCATCCATTAACAGAGATCCTAGAAGGGGTTGGGGCTGGAGACGGTGTGGATTAAACCCCTTGACTGCTGAAAAGCTTAGAGCAGCAGAGCCATAAGTTCAAGACCGTCCGAGTCTCCCCCGCCCCACCCCCAGCGAGAAACCCCACTAATAACAGCGAGGCTACATACCCAAGAGTGTCGAGGACCTGCCTCGGACGGGGTGGGGCGAAGCCGTTTCTGCTGGGGTAGAAGAGGCAAGAAGGATGCCGGGCCCCCTGAGAAATGTCCACTGTTCCCCAGGAGCTCCCGCTCCATTTCCCCCCAGCACCACCAACACAAGGCAAAGCCTAGAAAGCTGCTGTGCCCAGGCTTCCTTCTCTTGGGGCCGGTTCCGGCCTGACCACGCCTCTACAGCCTGCCTGCCTGTCTCTCACCCCTTTCCCTCCGGCCCCTCTGCAGGCCTCTCCCTCTTAAAGCCCAGGTCCCGGAACGTCACAAGCAAGGGGTGCACTCAGCCCACACCGTGGCGCGTGTCACCCCTCGTGTCACCCCTGTGCTCCAGACCTCCCGGTCGTCATCCCACGACCTCTCCAGCTGCCTCTCCTTCATCACTTCAGGGACCACAGCCAGCCACACCGGCCCCCTTCCTGGGCCTTGGTACCCGCTGTCTTCTTTCTCTTGCCTGGAAAAATGTTCCCAGTCTGCTTCAATGCCCACAGTCCTTCGCAGAGACCCTTCTGGAACACTCCCTGACATAGGAGCTTGTCGCTCACCCCTGCCTGCCTCTGTCTTCCTTCCTCTTGTCTGTTTTCTCCACTAGGAGAAGCTTCACGCAGACGAGGGCTGTTTTGCTCACTGTTGAGTCCCAGCAGCCGAGGACCCTGCAGTCACAAACAGATGACACATGGCAGGTGCCTGATTCGTCAGACGAGTGACTGAGAAGCCTGGTCCTTCATAAGGACCCCCAGAGTCCGTGCACCAGTGCCATCCGAGGACTGTCTGTCACACGCACCGTTACACATTTATTCTGCATGTGTCACGGAGGCAGCTCAGGAACTGTGTGCCAGCAATCTGGCTGACACTGCTGGGGTCTGGGGCCAGAGCCTCAGAGGAAGGAAGGGAGTTGGATGTCTCCATCTTATTTGCTGAGAACCCGCCATGAACGCACGGCGAGAATCTCACTCACATCTGCCGCCCACTCAGTCCTCACAAGCGGTGCCGCTGTCGGCCCACTTAACAAGTCTCCACTTGCCGTGTGCGACTGTCTCTGGGCTGGAGGGCTGAGGTGGACACAGCCTGAGGAGCTCAACGCAGGGCATTTCAGACCCCCA